GCCCTTCCTTCCTTCCTTCCTTCCTTCCTTCCTTCCTTCCTTCCTTCCTTCCTTCCTTCCCTCCCTCCCTCCCTCCCTCCCTCCCTCCCTCCCTCCCTCCCTCCTCCCTCCCTTCCTTCAAGAATTTTCTTAGACATGTCTATAATAACCCTTAAGGAACTGGAACTTAAAGAAGGGGTTTGTAATGCTTCCTAATAAATATACAGTTATTATTCCTTTATTCATATAGTTAATGGTTCTGAGTAATTTACATGATATAAACTGGCAGTAAGAACTTATGTGTAAGTTCAATCATTTATCTTTGATTTAAAAATTTTTGACAAGAAATGGTAGCACACTGAGTTATTGCTGTTGAATAAGAAGGGAGATGTAAGTCCACTATTGCCTACATTAGTCCCTTTTGTTTATGCTTATGTGGCTCCTAAATTTGAAACTTATTCAGTTCATGACAAGCACTGAATACTTTTTAGTGCTAGATTTTTGAACCAGGTGTAATTTTCATCACGTTTACTTGGAATTTACTATTTGGCATAGGTATCTAGGTACTGGGGTTAGTTTTACTGATGTTCCCTCAGGTACATAATATTTTCTTGGAGCTTATACCTCTTGGCTTTTTAAAAATACAGACTTTTCCATTGCATGAAAGATACAGACAAATGACATAGTATGGTTATTTAGGAAATAGCTTTACCCTTTAAAAAATTACTTATTAAAATAATTTTTTCTGTGAAGTCCACTAGTCATGCTTTTTTGTTTCTTGAACTTAGAAAGCATGTGTTAACCTAATTATAAATTAGCAATCTCAAAGTGCCCACAAGTGTCAGTATTTGCCTAACTTATTTTTTCCTTCAGTTTTCATTAAGTTAAGAACTTCTTTTGACTTGAAAGCAAAGTTAAATATACATGTCTCTCTCAGAAATAATTATCATTTTTATTTTAATTCATATAATTAAACTATAAATATGATTCATAAACTATTAACCCAAAAGAGAATATAATTTAAAATTTTAGTTATTTAGTAGACACATGATTTTGCTTTCATATTCTCTGTTATCTCAGTGAGTTAGCAGTTTCAGTTAGGTATACCTTTTTCCAATTAAAATTGTGGTGTTGGACTGTGGAGATGGCTCAATGAGTAAGATATTTATTGTCCAATCAGGATGGCCTGGTTTATATACTCAATACCAATTTTTTTATTTAAAGACAGATTGTATAAAATGTCATATATATTTTATACTTTAAACCAAAGTATTTGATGACTATATCACTGATTATTTATGAATTGTGATTGATGTTAATATGGAATGTTTGTCTTCCAAGAAAGGGATTGGGTGACATTTCAGTCTCTTGGCAATTTAAGGGAAGAAATCCACTGTATGGAAAGTCAGAGTAGCTAATAATTTTTTGTTTGTTTTTGTGGGAGGATCTTTCTTTGTAGCTGTTGCTTTTCTGAGAATTACTGCAGATGGTCTGGCTTTAAATTCATAGATAACTGCCTGCCTTTGCCTCCCAAGGGTTGAGATTAGAAGTGTGCCTCACCATGCATGGTTTGTTAATAAATAATGGGCCACTTTGCAGCTAGAGGTAATCGCATCCGTAGGCAGGTTCAAAAGGGCAACTACTAACTGACACATCTGAGATAAGATTAAGGATTGTTTTCTGACTCCATTTAATGTACTAAACTAGTACTGCTATTTTCTAATGTCTTTCATGTTTTTATTTGTAATTGTTTATAACAATACACCTGAAGTGTTTTCAGTTTTGCAATATTTACATGAGCGTAATGTGATTTCCTGGGAATCATTATCAATCAATCTTAAACATGAAACTTATTCATTTTAAGACATGGTTTATGTATACAACATATGCTGACTATAGTTTTAAATGTTTTTAGTATACCTGTACGTTGACTGACTCATTACAAGACGTCAGGCTGCAAGTTTCACGAAGATTCAGGTTGTAGAGTATTTTCAGTATTTCAGGTTCATGTAATTAAAGCCATTAAAACCAACTTCAGTAACTATTGTACTTTTAGAGTATTTCTGGCTAGCCAATGAGCTCTTGGCGTCTTCCTGTCCTTTCCTTCCCAGTTACTAGCATGACAGGTGTGTGTTACTACACCGGGCAAATACTTTGCCTACTTGTATAAGCAGCAAAAATTAATTTCACAGTGCCAGAGAAGATCTTTGATTATCTCATTCACTGAAACAAAACAAGCAAGGTCATTTGTAAACAACTTACCTTACTTTGTCTTCTTTCTTATTTCTTGGGAATGTAACTCTGTTACTGTTTTTTCCTTCTACATAATTGAGTCATTTTATCTTTCCCAAAATATCTCATGTCTTAATGCAGCTGTAATGTTAGAATTTTTCCCACAAGAGAAAGCAGGTTTCCTCTCCAGTTAGCACAGCTTGTTAGCTCCTTTGGCTGTTTCTGTTGATAACTTTCTTTTCATGACTGTTTCCAGCAGTCTTAATATATTTAAAACAAACAAAAAACAACAGTATTGACAATCTATTATTGCTGCAAAACTATACTGTTTTTGTTAATTCATGCCAGAAATACCAGTTAATATACCTTTGAAAATAATACTTCACCTTTTCATCTTTACAGTAGAGAGTGGAAGAATTGTGTTATGTCATTTCTTAGATCTCTTGTGCAGTTTCAGAGCAACAGAGCAAAAGAGTATAATGTGCTCTTTAAACATTTGTTTAATTGCTATAAATTGAAAATTGCTATAAATTAATGTGACATAAGGATCGTCCTAGTTTTGGTCTTGTTCCCCAAGTGCTATTGTGTCACATTCTATAACTGTGTATGGATTTGAAATAACAAAAACTATACTGTGGTGATTCAGACAACTCAGTTGCATAAACTGAAAAGATAACATAGATAAATCTTGTGTAAATCAAAGAAATTTGATACAACAAATTGAGGCTAAAAGATGTGTGTGCAGTGTGCAGTGAGATGAGGGAATTTATTTATGTCAGGAAGAATTATTAGAGGAAAAGTAGAATTTGAATGCCAGCAGGACAAGGTAGTAAATGTTAGCAAAAGGAACTGTATTCTTTTCATATGTATTTTTTATACTTACTTTGTCTTTTATGCCAGTAAGTTATCTTCTTGAGTCAAAGGATATGGTATCAAAGGATATGGTATCAGTATTCTAGGCATACTTAGTAGTTCAACCTTATGGTTAGAATTCTTACCAGCTAGCTCTTATTTGTAAGTGTAATCCCAGGAGAGGACTTTTGTTGTCCTAGTTTAGAATGTGTGCCTTTTTCTTGATTAAGGAATGGGATTTTTTTCCTGTGACTAGGGAATGATTACTTCATTAAGCAAGGATTGTTCATTGTACAAACAGAAAGCATTATTAGTATTTAAAGGGGTCAAGGTTTGAGCTTATTGAAAGCAGACAAAAATTCCTGTATATTATTTTCAATGGAAAAAAGGAATTTTGATTTGTTTTGTTGGTGTTGCTTCCAAGTTCTAGTCTTTTGCCTGGTCTATTTTGATTTAAAAAAAAAAAAAAAAAAAAAAAAAAAAAAAAGCAAAACACCATTACATTGAGTCAATCAATGATTGGTGCCTACTGTGTTCTAAGCAGTGGAATTACAAACAAGAATGAAACAAGTCTTTGAAGATGAACTTAGAGATAAATATAATCAGAACATTTCCTAGCTTATGGTATTAAACATTTCACTTTAGTGATTGCTCATATTATTTTACATTTAAGTTTTAATTTGGATATAATTTATTTAAAAGATGATCTCACAGTAAATAAGCTTCACAGGTCTTCATAAAATGAATACATGAGTGACATCAGCACTTAGAATAAGTACTAGATATAGTATGTCCACTGATTGCATAGAAGAGAGTATATTTCTAAAAGATCGCTTGGTTTCTCTCAGTGCTTTGGACCTCAAGGAGCATTTTGCTAATACTGTAGCTGTTGTCTTTTTTCTTATTAACTAAAATATTTCATATGTATCTTCCTTAGTATACTTCAACTTTTAGTATATTTTCTTACTACTAGTACATCTCAGTAATTGAGATATATTTAGTATTTACTCTTTTTAAAAGATTTTTTGTAAATATGTTTTCCCTGAATATTAATTTTTTTCATTCATTATCTGTGTGTGTAGGCAATGCATGTGGAACTGAAAACACTCCAGGGATCGCTCCTCCTGCAGAGTGGGTTAAGGGGAATGAACTCAGGTTGTCAGATTTAGTAGTAAGCCACTCCTACCTGCCAAGCCAACATAGTGACCCATTTTTCCTGGATATTTTTAAAGGCAGTTAATTATTTGAAATAGTTACCTGCTTTTAAGATGCACCAAAAAGTGTTATATGTTTTTAACATGAGATTATGTGTCACAAATTTTGCCTTTTAAAGGAAAAAGGTTTGAGTTAACTTTAAAATAGGTAGACTGGAATGCATCCAGTCATAGACAGATAATCTGGTGTATACATGGCTTTAAGCTCGATCTCTAGCACTTCTTTAAAAATAAATTTCAAAAGTTACGAAAAGTAGTCATGTAGCACCATTTCTGAAAATATTAACATTTTTTACAATTAAGCATATTTCCATTACATACCTCCATTAGTATACCTTGTTAAAAATAGTGTAAAAGCTATGTAGGACTTTTGTTTACTTGTTTATTTTGCCTCATGGTTTTAGGATCTAGTTCATCATGGGTAACAAGGCATGGCTCTAAGAGTGGCTCTGGCTGTGGTAGTGGTAGATAATTTTAGGGTCAGGGGTCTTTTTGAAACAGAATCTCATGTAGCTCAGAATAGCCTAGAACTCACTATGTAGTTCAGGTTGTACTCAAACACAGCAGCCTTCCTGTCTCAGCCTCTTAAATGTTTTGCTTTTAAACTTTTAGGCCTTGGCCAAATGACTGACTGAATGGGAGAGCAACATCAGATCTCTTTAAAGTGTTTAATTGTTATGTAAACGAACTTTGATGTCATGCATCAATTTTTATCTTTTAAAGGAAGGTGCATCTGCCCGTAAGACTCAAACTCCTGCAGCCCAACCTGTACCTAGACCAGGTAAAAATATAAAATTTTGATTTTTTTCTAGGTGGTCATAAAAACAATGAATGTTTTTGATGTGTAATAATCTTAAGAAATCATTGTTTCACTTAAAATACACTGAAAGGCCATTTTTCTTCAAATTAATCATCAGTATCCCTTAAGTAGGTTTTAAACTGTGGTAATCTATACAAAATGCTTATTAAACTTTGCAGCATCATTAATCTTTATATTCTTAGCAGAAAGCCATAAAGAAGTTAAAATGAATAGTTGCAGAATCTTTGACATCTAGATTTTTAATATTACTTACTGTACTATTTTTCTTCAATTTGAGTTAACATTTTATTACTTATTTTTGCTATGAGCTATCTTGCAAAAGTAACTTAAGGAAGGAAGGAGGTATAGTTCATTATCAGAAATTTTTGTGGCAGGACCTTGAGGAAGATGGTCACATTGCATCATCCATGGTCGGGAAGCAGAGGGAGGTGAATAGTGTGCTGGGTTAGCTTTCTCGTTTTCATGCAGTATGGGATCCTAATTCCTGCAATGGTGCCACCTACTTTCAGAGTGAATCTTCTCACCTCAATTACTGTGATTTAGATAATCCCTTACAGACATTTACAAAGGTTAACATGATCTAAACAGTGTCTCAGACATAACTGGATGTCTGTCTTTTAGGTGATTTGAGATCAACCATCACAGAAAACATCAGTAAAATAAGTTATGGGACATGCATAAAAGTAACATGTAAACTTATACCATGAAGACATTTGTTCCTATAATTTTCGTTGAAGAGTTAAAGAACATTTTTAAGATGATTATTTTTATTTTGGTTAAGATTTGTTACATGTATTCCTTTATTCAAAAATTCTTTGTTTTAGATTCATGACATTTTTGGTGTGAGCCTAGTCTTTAATGGCTGAGCCATCTTTCCAGCCCGGGTTCATGATATTTTCTGCAAATATGGATTATTTTTTCCTACAGAAGTTCAGCATGTGTTGGTGAGCACTTAGAACTTCCACAATCACTTTTTAAAATAGTTGGTAAGCAAGGGTACTATTTAAGTTGTTTTAGAGTCTATCTCTTCAATTTTTACTGATCCATGTAAACTCCAATAGTATACACATAATTTCTATGTAATCTTTGCTAGAGTTAGGATAAGCTAATAAGATAAGAACACATTGTAGGAAGAAGAAAAAGGTAAAGTAAGTAGGAGTGACAGATGACTCTGGGTCCAAAGAATAGTGTCCATAGAAGCAGATGTGCAGTTTCTTTGGAAGGGAAGGATATGAAGTTGTGGTTTGTCAGTCTAATGAAGATCACATAAGAGTCAGAAATTAGAAAAGAGGTAAAACAATAGCAAAACAACCACCTTGAGGATTCTCATCCAGTTTTTTAGTCTGTGAATTAATATAAACTCACAGTTTCTCAAAATGAGTATACTAAACAATGAAGTAGAAAGAAGTTGCTGATGTAATGTCACTTTACCCAAATGTGGTGTGTCTAGAATGCGTTAAGGGTGTTGGTGTTTGAATGTGAAATGTCCTGATAGTCTCATGTATCTGAATACTGGGAAAGTTGAGGAAAGGCACTGGGGGTTTGGGGGGCTGGGCCCTGACTGAGGCTTAATGTCCTGGCCCTATTTCGTGTTCACTGTGTACCTACAGAGAGTGGATGCTACGTGATCAGCTGACCTCCTGCTTCACCATGTCTCCCTTGTCTGCTACCCTGTCTTCCCTGCCATAATGGGAAGACACACTCTTTGGAACCGCAAGCCAAAATAGACGAGTTCTCCCTTAGATGCCCTTTGTTAGCTTTTTTTCTCCCCAGTGATTATGCGTATGTGTGTGTGCACACTGTGTGCATTCCATGGAGCACACATAAGTCAAAGAACAATTTAGGGGAGTTGGTTTTCTCCTTGTACTATGTGAGTTCTGGGGAATCAAACTTAGGTTGTTCTATTGAGCCATCCCGTTTGTCCTTGTCCAAGGTATGTTTTCAGAGCAACAGATTAATTAAGAAAAGAAGAGGATTGTGTTCTGTTTACCATGACAATCATATGTGAAATATGAGGTGCTGAAAATTTCAACTTTTAATATCCTATGCTTCTTTTTCATGTACCCTACCCAAGTACACTGAAGGTTTAAATAATAGAAGGAATTAAGTCTACTCAAAATATAATATCTCAGACATTCCCTGCCCATTAGTAGACAGAACCTTTGTAGGCATTCTTCATATCTCGTTTAACCTTTCATAGATTTGAGGGAGTTGTCAGATTTTCTTTTCCTGCAATCCTCCTTAACCTTCACTGTTCACTTCATTGTCTCTACCCACAATGTAAGATCCACCATTTCCTTAAATTAACATGGTATTTTGTAGTCAGCAGACCACAGTGTATCAGTCTGCTAACTTTCTGTTTCTGTTTTGTCCTCCAAAAGATACATGGCAGAAACTGTAACAGGCATCTTTTTGAAAATCCAATTAATTCAATCAATTTAATAATAATTGTTACTACCCTTTTCTACTCAGCCTTAATTTGGAGTAAGGCAATAAGGGAGGAAAAATTTTGAGAGGGGCTTTTGTAATAATCCTAATTGAGCTTTTTTAGCGCTTGCTGATCTGAAGCTCACTCTGTATGTCAGGCAGAACCCCAAACCAGAGTTAGGGCTGCCACCCCCCCCCCCCCACACTACTCTGGATTAAAGGTGTGTACCACCACATCTTAAAGTCCTCCTTTTAATTCCTGTCTAAATCTCCTAATTTCCTTTTGTAAAAGATATTAGATGAAAATCAGATCATGTTATTTTCTGGCTTAAAAGTTATTGGACTTTGTGATGGCACTTAAATACTTGGGAAGAAAAACCAGACGTTCAGCGTCCTTTGCAAATGAAAACTTAATTGAGATTCTGTGTCACCAGTGTTCTAATAGCATGTTGTCAGAATGATTGGTAGCACATGTCTGTAGTCCCTGCTGCTTAGAATTGGTAAGGCGAGGTGAATCTAGACATTTAGTTCAAAAGTAGTCTGGACAACATAGTCTCCTTCGCCCCCACAAATAAACAAACAAACAAACAAGTAAGTAGGCAAGTAAGTAAGTTAAAGACCACAGGGTTGTTCTAGATACACATCACTGTGCCTGACTTTTTATGTAGGTTGTTGATATCCAAATATAGGTTCACCTAGCAGGGTTTCTGCTTTTTGTATGTTTGTGAGGAACGACCATGTGGAATTCCTTAGTGGCTTCCTTAAATTCTTGCCATTACTGTGTCAGTGTCCCTTTTCCCCATCGAATCTTTGCTAATATTTATATTTTTCTTTAAAAAAAAAATTATACTAAGGAGAAGGGGGGACAGAGACAGGGAGGAGGAGAGAGCCCTGTGTGCCATGGCACATGTATGATCTCTTCCTACCATGTGTGTCTTGGGACTGAACTCAATTGTCACACTTGTTAGTAAATGCCTTTACCTCAGTTGATTTCCCTCAATCTGTTTTTTATTAATGTTTTCTCACAGGTGATAGAGATCACAATATAGTTTTTATTTACATTCCCCTGATGACTAAGGGTATTGAATATTTTTTCTGTTATTTATTAATTTGTTATGTGTACTAAGACCTTTGAGAAATAGCTTCATTCCTTATATTCACTTAATTGATTAATGTATGTTTTTTTTTTGTGTGTGTGTGTGTGTGTGTATTTAGTTTCTTGGTCTCTTTATAGGTTTGAGATAGTAATCCTTTGTCCATTGTGCAGCTGACAAAGGTTTCCCAATCTTAGAGGCCATTTTCTTTGCTGTCCTCATTACTATGCAGAAGCCTTTCATTTTATGTAGTTCATTTACCTGTGCTGGGATCATTTGCTGAGCCTGGGGTCCTTAGAAATGCTCCTTGTTCCTGAGCCCATAACATTTTCCTTATTCTCATGTAGCACTTTGAGAGTTTTACATCTTCCTTTAAGGTCTACAGTTCATTTTGAGCTGATTTTGGTATAGGATGAAAGGAAGGAAACTGGTTTCATTATTTTGCATGGGGATATTTCCCAGCACCATTGTTTCTTCTTTTTTAGAAGAGACTTGTTTTCTCCAAGTTATGTTTTTTAATACTTTTGTCAAATTAGGTGGATATAGTTGTGTGGGTTTATTTCTGAGTCCTCCATTCCATTCCTTTTCTCTACATGTCTGTTTTTGTGTGGGTACCATACAGTTGCTGTTACAGGTAATTGTTGTTTTTGGTCCTAATTTCTCTTGCTAGTCAAGAGTTTTAATGTTTCCATGTGAAATTTAGTTATTTTTGGTAAGAATTGTGTTGAAACTAGGTTCCTTTAGATTGTGTAGCCATTTTCACAGTATTAATTCTGTAATCTATGAGCATACCACACAGACTTCTTATTGTGCCCACTCCAGTTTTTGTTTAATCAAGTTTATCAACATGAGTCTCACTATGTCCCTGCTGTGGTACTTCTAGGGAGCCTGTTACTACATTTTTTTGTAGTCATTTTATCTAAACTTTGGAACTTTACATGTGTGAGCTCTTAAATTTTTTTTTCCCTTGTAGTTGGTCTTCTGAGCCTTTATTTTTTAGCAAATGTTGCTTTATTTTTCTGGATCTCTGTATAGATTTCCTCAGAAAAGAAAAAAAAAAATCTGAATAACATTGATACAGATTTCCTCTCTCATCTCCCTCTCATAGCATGTTTTCTCTCTTTTGTGCCCATGTTTCTGTTCAAAATATCATTAGCTTATCTTCTACCAAATACTATTTCCTAGGACTGTGTTATATACCAAATAATATGATCTAGCTTGTATATTTCCTTAGGAAGAAGAAAAATGAAATGATTACAAATGTGTATGTGTGAGCCAATCTCTGTAATGATGGAAAGATCATTCAGTGTACTTCATAGTAACAACAAAATAACTGTTCAGAGTATAAAGCATTCATTAGGATGTAGCATCTTGCTCCCTGAAGCGTGGAGTGCATTCCAAAAAATGTGTATAGTCTTGTGATTCACGTACAGGTTGCAACTGTTTCTGAAAAATGGCATTGAATTTGAATTTTTTTCTTTACCGTCCACCATTCACTAGTTTAATTCTTTTTTTTTTTTTTAAAGATTTATTTATTTATTTATTAATTATGTATGCAGTATTCTCCATGCATGTATACAGGTAGTCCAGAAGGGGGCAACAGATCTCACCACAGATGGCTGAGCCAACTTGTGGGTGCTGCGAACTGATCTCAGGACCTCTGGAAGAGCAGCCAGCACTCCCAACTTCTGAGCCATCTCTCTAGCCCCCTCACTAGTTTAATTCTGTTACACATAAGTAATGGTTAACTATTGGCTAGATAAACTTTTCAGGTAGTTTCTTTTCCATTTAGTCTTAGAGACCCCACTTACTTTCAGATTACTTGTGTTAGCACCTCTTTTCTCTCCCCTTTTCTGGTTGTTCTCGTGTAATTGCAGTGTATTGAGGTTCTGTTACCACATTCCTTAGTCTGTCCTGAGGTCTTCCTATTCTCCTAAATGATTTTTTAAATGTTGCTGTTTAAAATGTTGCTTTTTTCTTTTCCTATGAAGTTCCATGGTTCATGGTCTTGTTAATTAGTCACTGTCTTGTATTCTTCATCGTAGTATCATGCAGAATAAATTTTAAAATTAAACCAATTAGGTGCCACACAAGAAATATTTCAGAAGATGTTATATAGGTAAATGGTAAAACTAAACATTAAGCATTCTTGTATAGATCATGAATTAGGTTAATGCCATATGCTAACAAATACTTATTTGCTGCTACAGATAGAATAATAATGCAGCCATAATTACTACTAATGAGGTCATTTATAGACAGTATAGATTAGTAGATTTTTCAGAGATAGTTGACTCACTGCTTTTAATGGTCTTTCTCTGACAAAAAAATCATTTAAAGATTTTTAAAGAGAAAAGAATTTAAAACTATTTCAGGCCTTAATCCCCAATAACTTCTTTTTCTTTCCTCAGTTTCCCTATCTTGAATCTAGTACTCTGCTTTTACATTTATAACAATCAGTGAATTATAAAACCATTTTCTTTGTTTATGAGCTCTAGACATCCATGAACTAATCAAACTGTTATATTTGTTTCTTTTTTATAAATGTACTTACTCTTCTATTGTTCATTTCTTATACTTAATTGTCCAGTAATGCTACAGTATTTCAATATTTGTAAAAAACAGAGGCATAAAATGTGGAATGTTTATGTTTTACCACCAGTCATGTGAATATCAATAATGTTTAAGCTTCCTTTGTTAGTTGGAAATATTTTTTTTATAACAGTGGTGATTTTATTTTTTTCCTGTTTATAGTTTCTCAAGCAAGACCACCTCCAAATCAGAAGAAAGGTATGATTGTATCTTTGATTTACTCTAGGAGCTAAATGTAGGTGAACTAGTTTTCAAAACCATGGCTAATATGCTTGTGTACCAATATTGAGTATATCTGCTTGGTATTTTTACTTGGTGAGAAATAAGCCACATGAATTATTAAATATTTTTGCCATTATTACAAATTTATATTTTAAATTTATTTTAAAATATTTTAGCATGAAAGAATTAAAGTTATAAGTTTAAAAATTATTTTAATACAGAAAGTAATTCTTTCAATAGTAATGATTTTGATTTTTTTTTAAACCGTTAATTTTTTTTGTCTTTATAGGATCTCGAACACCCATTATTATTATCCCTGCAGCTACCACTTCTTTAATAACTATGCTTAATGCAAAAGACCTTCTACAGGATCTGAAGTAAGTAATTTATAGTGGTTTTGTTATTGTTGGATTTCTTTTTCCCTTTCTTTTTTTTAAATGCTGATTTTGTTGTTTTGTTTTGCTTTTTGAGACAGTGTTTTTCTATGTGGTTCTAGCTGTTCTGGAACTCTATAGACTAGGCTACCCTTGAGCAAAGAGGTCCACCTGCCTATGCCTCTCGAGTGCTGGGATTAATAGGTGTGTGGCACCACCACTAATGTTTAGACTTTTTAAATGATTTGTTAAACTTGTTCTTTATAAGATACTGCTGGTGTCACTGTGTAGTTTTACTTTTTTTGAGATTATAATATAATTATATCATTCTTCCCTCTAGATCTTCCCATGATACTACATTTTCTTTATTGTAAAAAATTTGCTTCATACACTGTATTCTAATCATGCTTTTCCTCTCCCCAAACTCTTCTCAGGTTCTACCCATCACTTTATCCACCAATTCCATGGTGGATGGGTGGGTGGGTAGGTAGGTCTGCCTGTCTGTCTGTCTGTCTCCAACAGACCAAAAAAAAAAAAAAAAAAAAAGAAAAGAAAATTTAAAGATGGGAACTAGAACACACAAGCAAAAGACCAGTAAGATAGAATGCCTAAATAAAGCAGAAGGAGCTAAAATGTGTACAAAAATACATTCTACTTGTAAGCATGGGGCCTTCCCTGATGTGTGGTTAATATACCCAGTGAGATTCCAGAATTTATCAATGTTAATGATTTCCCCAAGAACAGTGCTTGCTTTCATTAGTTCCTCGTTGGTTTTTTTGTTTATATGACTGTTCAGCCCTGAGTTGGATTATTTCTTGTCACTGTTTTTTTTTTTTTTTTTTTTTTTTTTTTTTGGTGAGTGTTATTTCTTCTTGTTCTAGAACTTTCTGATGTAACATTAAGTTATTAATATGAGATCTCTCTACTTTGTAATGTAAGCACTTAGTGCCATGAACTTGCCTCTTGGAACGACCTTCATTGTGTCCAATAAGTTTTGTTATGATGTTTTAATATTCATCCAATTCTAAAAAGTTTTTAATTTCCTTCTTGATTTCTGTCTTAACTCATTTTTCTTTCCATAGTGAGTTCAGTTTCTATGAATTTGTGTATCTTTTGTTGTTGTTGATACTCAGCCTTAATTGATGATGGTCAAATAAGATGCAGGATGTTTAGAGCCTCCTTTGGGAAGTCAGGTGCCACTCTGTTTGTGTGGTACTCAGTCTTTTTGCCATGCAGCTTTAATATCCTTTCTGTAAGAAAATGTAGCACATCTTTGCATCATTGAAACAAATGTTCTACAGCATAAACAAATGTAATACACCTTAAAATAATATTTCTCAACAGAAAGAGTAGGTCCCACAAACAGACCAGGTTACAAAACTGTCACCCACATGCACAACCACAGGGCCTGGTTTTTCCTATGCAGGTTCCCGAACAGTGGTTTTCAACCTGAGGGTTACAACCCCTTTGGGGGGTCGAATGACCTTTTCACAGGGGTCGTCTAAAACCATCAGAAAACCATAGGTATTTATATTTATTATTTATAACAGTAGCAAAGTTACAGTTATAAAAGTAGCAACAAAAATAGTTCTATGGTTGGGTTCAGGACAACATGAGGAACTGTATTAAAGGGTTCGCAGCATTAGGATGGATGAGAACCATTACTTTAGAGACAGTTACAGAAACTTTTAGCTGTAGCCCTGGTGAGGAGGGTACTCTTAGGGAGAGAGAAAGAGGGAAAGACGAAAACAAAAAACACAAAAAATTTCCTCATGAGAATGTTCAAATGCAATATCAGATAAACGTAGAAAGGGGAATACTGAATAAAACCATGAGTTTTGAAAGTACAGTAGTAAGTTAAAAATGGAAAAAAGAAACCCCCACACTTTCCTTTGGTTTATGATGCTATAAAACCTGTATTGCTCATGTGTCTAGTATCTGCTAAGTCTGCCTTTATTTGAGTAGCTTACCTTCTTTGTGTACCAGGACCATATGTTAGCCATACTTATCTTTGCATCTGTGGCTGGGTCAGTTGTTTCGCCCTCTAGGAGACTCCCCACATCATACTCCCTGGGCTTGCTAATATTCTAAGTGGAGGATGCCTCAATAGGTTGGAATAGTGGGAAGCACCCTCTCCTCCAAGAGACTGTGTGTACAGGCAGAGGATCTGATTCTACACTTTACAATTTCCTGAGTATTAATCAGCCCAATGAAGGTGTGTACTTCAATGATCCTGGGCTTTGTAGCAGTGACTCATAAATAAGTAGGTGACTTAGAGGTTGACCTATTGCTGTTCTCAAGGTGGATCAGGGTGATAGGCATAGAATGCAGTCTACAGTGTGATTCTCAGTTGATAAGTTTGGTTCCCAGCCTGCAAAGGAGGAGTCAGGCCCGAGGCAAGTCTTCTCTTTCTGTGCCCTTTAGCTTGTGAGACTCTATCCTTCCCTTTTCAGTCTTAGGGCTGGTTCTCACTCTGTTGTAGCGTGTTATATTTCGGTTCCCTGATTCCTGATTTTTCCATGTCCGCAGTACTGCTTATCCCCAGCATTGGCTCAGTTTTGATTCCTCTTTAGTTGCTGCCCAACTACTCCCCAGAATTTTGTAGAATAGCAAAATGGTATTCCTCTTCTTGTTGATTTATATGAAGAGGAATCACTGTCTTCACAACTGTTTCTTTGAAACTTGTTCGGACTGCCAGGTTATTTTCATTCCCTCCATTCAGCTTCTCTTGAAGATGGGGTTTCTGTTTTCCCTCTCTCTGTTGGAGTGATGTGGTTTAGCTTTTCAGCATGCTGCCCATCTTTTTAAGGCACTTTTAGGCTGGACTACTTACAGAATTCTCTCTCTCTCTCTCTCTCTCTCTCTCTCTCTCTCTCTCTCTCTCATCTCTCTGTCTCTGTCTCTCTCTCTCTCTCTCATCTCTCTCTCTCTCTCTCCTTCTCTGGGGGGGGGGCCTATTGAGTCTGAGTCTTATGTATCACGTGCAGGCAAATTTTCTAAAGTTCTAGTTTACTCTTTTACCCAGAAGTTCCAGTCTTTAAAACAGACAAAAGTCTCATGATCTCAAAATGGCTCTAAGAAATTTTAGATTGAATGTATGTCATTCCAAAGTGATTGTGTGTGTCTCTTTTCTCTCCTTTTTCATTTTTAGTATATATTTCTGAAAGTACCTAAAGCCTTAAGTTAATTATTGAGTTCATTTCTCCACTTAAGGATTTCTGGTTCATTAATGTAATATAATTTTAAATTCATAGTGATGGCTAATAAATTTTAAATCTTCTCTTCACCCTGACTATTGAGTCAGATTAAGATGGATAAATTTCCTTGCCATTTGAATGAAAACATCTTTTTTTCCTAAGTCGTCATCTCATTGTTTATTTCTCCTGAGATTCTGATTGTTCTCCATTATGTAAATTATAAAATGCAACCACAAAATTATGTACTCTTTCTTGGCAACATCCATATACTTAATTGGTTGTCATTTTTTGTTTGTTTGTATTTTTATCTACCATTTCTAGCTTCTGACAGGAGGAGGATTGTATACTGTAGTATATATAATACCATTTATAGCATTAATTTTATATTTCAAATTATTTATATATGTGTGTACACATACATACATATTGTTATTAGTCTTCTAGGTGTACATTAATCAGTTAAAAAGAAGCTATATTTGAACTGTGCTTGAGGAAGGAGTGAATACTATGTCATTAAATATTTTCCAGTTTATGAATAGATTCTTCTTTTTGGGATATATCAACAATAGAAGATATCAATCATTATCTGACCAGTAAGTACTATTTGGAGCTTAAATTAAGAGGTTAAAATTTAATGATAACTTTTTGGAGAGGTTGCTGTGTTTATTGAGTTTGTTAATTCAAGAGTCAGCTAAAACACATTAGTGTTTATGTAGCTAAGTCAAAAGTCCAACCTTCTCTGGAAGCTCATATGATAGTGACAGTAATTTATCAGAAGTCATTATTTGCAACTGATAAAATTTCTTCTAGCAATTAATTTAAAAAGTCCGTTTCAGTTTCCTAGTTATTCTGTATTTTTAGTATAGTGGAAAACACAGTCCTTTTATATTTTACAAACATGAACGTTGTCTTGATAGATTCAGAATCCAATTAGACCCATTTGTTATCAACCACTAAGTACTTTGCCTATCACTTCTCATATATTGTGTGGTATAAGTGAGAATGTAGGTTTTCTTAATGCTTTTTAAATAAAAATTGCTGAAATTTGTTTTCTACAATTTTGCTACCTAGAAAGGATGTAGGATATATCTAGTTTGGTCCACTCTTTTTCCTGAGTGAGACTACAGAGATACATAACATCTATAAAGTCTAAAAGTGCTAATTTTAGAGAATACAAAATAAAATGAGGTCTTCATACCAGTTTAGACACCTAACGTTTAGAAGTTGGGTTTTGGGAGCTGATTCTGTGGCTAAAGAGTGTACTGTGCTTACTGAGTATCTAAGTTGGTTCACAGCTCTGGGAATCCAGCTGCTCTTCTCATCTCCAGGTACACTTGAACTCATGTACCCACACACCAACACACAATAAACACAGTGTTTTAAAACCTCGGTTTAAAAGGAAGGTTTTGAGTTTCAGTCTGGCCCTTGTAGTTGGACAATGACCATCAAGAAAAAAAACTAACTCCTGTACAAAGGCAGTGCTATAAACACCACTTTGACCCAGCTTTGAGTAGGGTTGATATTATAATTAAAATTGTAAAAGGTTTATACAGATTAGTTTTCTATGTTAGTTAGTTTTTCACCATTGCACCACTGTGAAAAAAAATAATCTAAAATAAACAACTTGAAGGAAGAGAGATTGCTTTGTCTATTGTTTAGGAAAGTTTAGTCCATAGATGCTCGGCCTCATTCCCAGGGCTCAGGAGATCATGAGAAAAGGAGCCTGTGGGGGGAATCTATCTCCTTTCCACCTTCTAATTACTATGTAAATATAGTCTTTCCATCATTGATAGCCTGAAATACCAC